TGATGGTATTATTTTAGGGTCTTTACCATGGTTTAGAAAACTTTTTGAATAGCCCTATATGGGCCTCAAAAGTTGGTCTCAGCGCTGGTCTTTCTGGAAAAACCTTTATCCTCCAGGGCTTTGGTAATGTTGGGCTTCATTCAATGAGATATCTTCATCGAGCTGGAGCCAAATGTATAGGAGTAGCTGAAATCGATGCCCAAATCTACAATAAGGATGGTATAAATCCTAGGGAATTGGAGGACTGGAAAATTGTAAGTCTATATTAATCAATAAAAAATATTTTATCCTTGATTTACGCATTACGTTTCAGGAGCACGGGACAATAAAAGGCTTTCCAAAGGCCTCCTCCTACAACAAGGGATCTATTTTATTTGAACAATGTGATATACTTGTTCCAGCTGCTAATGAAAAGCAAATAACAGGAGAAAATGCAGCTAAAATTCAGGCAAAAGTTATCGCTGAGGGGGCTAATGGACCAACTACTCCGATGGCTGATGAGGTAAGCGAATTTATACGCATTCATCTACATATTTCTATTCTAAAAACACCTTTGTTAAAATAGATACTCCGTGGCCGCAACATTATGGTTCTTCCTGACCTATTCTTGAATGCTGGTGGTGTAACTGTATCATATTTTGAATGGCTAAAAAATCTCAATCATGTAAGCTATGGCCGTCTTACATTCAAATACGAGCGTGATTCCAACTGGCAGCTTCTAAGTAAGCTTTATCACCTCCTTATTTAAGACTTAATATATTATTTGATTTTCAAAACTATTCACTACAGTACCCAAGATCCTTAAATGATTGTGCTATAGTAAGCTATTTTACCATTTAATACTATATATGAATATTCTTTAATATCCTTCTTCTCTTCCGGCTTTAAAATGTATATCCTCTGTATTGTACATTGCTCGTCATGGTTAAGTTTATAAAAAGTTTAATCGACAAAAAAAATAGTTTTTCACATACTTTAAGAGTTCAATACTGCCATTATAAGAGATATTGGAAATTAACGTTGGATTTATGATAGTAAATTACTAACCTTATTTTATTTGTTCGAAATTTGATTTTAACTCATTTTAGATAGTGTTCGTCAGTCTTTGGAAAAAAAGTTTGGAGGCGAAATTCCGATTAATCCTTCTGACGAGTTTGCTCTTCGTATAGCTGTAAGTTCCTGGATTCCATTTGTAACAATAAATACTATGCGATTATGTGGCTCTTTTAAGGTATATAATAAGAAAGTATAATACGCTTCGTATCTTTATTCTAGGGAGCCTCTGAACGCGATATTGTTCACT